TCATGGCGCCATATGTTAATTTCATAAACTGCACGCTACATTGATTTTGTCCCATGACCATTCACATTCCTTGTTACAGGGTGTCCAATAAAGGAGGTGTATAATGACTTATATCGTTTGTAGTTGTATGTGCGTTTGGTTTATGCTACTAAAATTGATAAATGTTATATATTACATTTTTATATTACATCATTTAAGTTTGTGTGATTCAGCATATTCAATTCAATTTATTTGATTCAATATTTAGACTAATTGTATCATACACTATTTCATTAAAAGTATACCACAAGGGGTGTATATATTTCAATTGACTTTCGATCAGTCTGAGTTCTAAACGTTTTTATTGTCAAATTATATTACTATCTAAAGTAGTATCATCTCTTGAAATGTTAAAATATCAAAAAGAAAAGTCCATAAATCCGGCTCCAATTTTCTGCACAAAGGTGGCAGTCAAATTTAATTACTGGCATGTCAAAATTATTAAACATTTTGAACTTTTTGAAGATTGAACTTGAATGAGTAGTTCTTTCAGAGTTTTTCATTATTCTCCGGGATTTCTTTTGCAAATAAAAAGTTTTTTTTTGTAAAGTGCACCTAAAATAAGTTTACAAAAATCCTGATAGACTACAGTGAAAACTAGAACGGTCCTTTTAATAAAGCATCTTTTGAAAAAAATTGGGTCAAAATATTAGATATGGTGAGTTTATAAATATTAAATTCAATGATTTGTTTAATAAGGTATAATTTTCTTATATTGGCCAAACCAACTCATTTATGATTTCTATGGCTAAGTGCACAGTTTCATAAAAAGTGTTTAACATTCCCCTTTAATTATAATAATAATCATTATATTTATCATTATATTCATTCAGAATGGCTTTTTTCTTTACGATGAAGTGAAAGGGATTGTGCACAAAACCATCGTAACAACAAGTTGCATTATTAATACGACTTATATACAGGGTGGGCCAAAAAAAAGTTCACCCTTTTTCATTTTAATCTAATTTTCTTATTTTTGATGCAATGCCTCTAAAAATTGATATGTATATAGCTCAGACATTTCTGTACATGTTGTTAGGATTTGAGTGAAATTTATGCAACAGTGTTGTCATGACACCTAAAATATATTTATGGTGTGTCATGAAAAAAACCCAGAAATTCACTTCATTTACAAAATGGCGGATTTCAAAAAAAGGAGGGAAATTTGAAAAGAAGTTATCATGGTAAATATAATTTTTATATCAGTTAATGCAAAATATTACAAAGTAGAGTGTTAATTAATAGTCAGAGTTGATGATAAACACCTCTTCAAACAATTAAGTACTCTTATAAACACCCGATACTACCATAGATGAGTTGGTCAACAAGTTACTGAAAATCCATGGTTTTATCCAATTTTCCTCATTTTTACGTTCACAATATTGATAATAATTTGATGGTTTTATGTAATACACTTATGATATAATTACAAATGAATAAGTTATTAAATTCTACATAATATATAGACAGAGTGCTAAAAAAGTCCTTATTAAAGGATATGAATCGCATCAATCCAAACTACATATTCCAACACGATGGGGCTCCCTCGCACACATCTAAAGCGACAATGGAGTTCTTGCATGCCAATGCACCTGATTTTATCCCCCCTGACTTATGGCCCCCAAATAGCCCTGATCTCAATGTTATGGATTATTTTGTGTGGGGTGAACTAGAAAAACATGTTCATAGTGTTCCCATCCATTCAGTTCAAGAACTCCAACAAAGAATAACTTTATGTTGGGAACAATTATCACAACAATCAATTAACGCGGCAATAAATAAATGGCGTCATAGACTAAAACTGGTTGTGCAGGAACAAGGAGGACATATTGAACATTTACTTTAAAAACAAAACAGCCAAAGACACACCTAATGTTATATATCGACCTTGTTTAGAAATGTCTCAGTTATCTACATATCAATTTTTTAAGGGATTGCATCAAAAATAAAAAAAATGAGATTAAAATGAAAAAGGGTGAACTTTTTTTTTGGCCCACCCTGTATATTCTATATAGGCTACTTTGAAAATCCTGAAACGTTATTCGATATCGAAAAATGAACTTAAAGTATGTGATTTATGAAATACAAAAAGCGTTAAAGAGACCTATAAATACAAAGAATTGAACATAGCAAAGTTCCAACATTTAAACTGACTTATAAATAACATGAAATATGAACTTTAGTTGATGTTATTTCTAACTAGTCACTCACAACTAGACATGTATGACTGCCATTCTTATTGAAACAACTTTAGCTTTTTAAATCATTAAAGGGAAAATAAGATCTAGCGAGCAAACTAAACAAAAATTGTTTCAATTTAAAAAAGATTTCGGCTCGAGTCATTCATTGTGATGTCTTAAATTTTTTAAATATCCATAGTGCTTACTTATTCCAAGAAGACTAATACACGTCGCACGAAACTGGGGACAATTAGCGTAACATTATGGCGTCAAAAAAACAAAACAAAACAATGAGCAGTATAGGGCGCAAACAGCCTTACAACGTCAAAAACGACAAGCGTCACATTTTTTACAAGTTTAGTCAACCTAAAAATAAAATACTTTATCCTTATCTAATCATTACAAAATTTACAGGGTAACAAGATCTCGAGGACAATATTTCTAAAATGTTTTTGAATTTTGAAAAACGGTCAAGAAATCCACTTGGGGCGTTAGTAAAAATTGATATGTATGGAATTTGTGGTAAAAAATCGATGCGTCACATTTTTCAAGTCTCGAAAACCAGCTCTTTTTTTGATATTATTTGCAAAATAAACAAACCGGTTATTGTTTTGTAAATTTCGCCATGACAATATTGTGCAGTTAAATTTTCTTTCAAATCAGACCTAAATTAGACAATTAGCGTAACATTATGTTCCATTGAATAAATTGTGAAATTTAAGTGGGATTTTGATCATTATTTCAAAAGTTATCTCAATTTCAACGAGCCCTGTAAGCGTAAAGTGTTACGTCTTACAGCGTATTTGACGATGTCGGAGTATATTTAACTTTACAAATGTGTTGGATCCCATCAAAATTTTGAAGGAAATATAATTTCATTGAAATGCGAATAAAAAATACTTCAAAATGATATGTAAAACACATAGTTGGCTTTTTAAATAAGGCAGAGATTAACGTTCAAAGCTGAGATAAGCCCGCATTTCCCGAATTGTCCCCAGGTCCGTGCACGTCATGTAAAGATTTTTACAGTAATGTATTATTATTCTATTTTTATGGTTGTCATTTTTATTATTTGTACTTAAATCTTAAATAACGATAACATATCAGCTTTTGTGAGATGAGATGAGCAAAATTGGATTCAATAAAGAACAACATAAAGCTTATGTTTCGAGAAGTAGAATTTTATAATGTAACATTATAGTCTGCAACAATACGTCAGAATAAATATTAAACTTACATTCCACTCATTGGGCAGATACAAATACCCAAAAATATTATGAAAGTAAGGGATGGGGTGTGCACCGCAGATGCTCAGCTAATTGCAGTTCCCCTGAAACGAGATGTAATGTGCGTGGACATATGCTGAGAAACTGATCTGTTGTCATACCTCATAGGCAAACAAATATATCCTTTTGTTGTTTCCTAACAGAAAAACACACGAATCCGTTTATCAAATGATGACAGACACAATGATACGCGAGGCGTAATCGTACAATGCCTGCGTTCCATACGTCATCCTAAGCTTAAACCACATGCCCATCCTTGGCTAATGATAAACAAATTGATCGTGAAAGCCCCTGAGGTATCCATCAGCCGGAATGTGGATTCAACGATAGTAACTTTAATTGATTAATATCTATGTGTTTTAGGTGCTGTTACGTTCACCGACCCTCCATCGGTAGCACGAATATATCAAAATGCCCAAGCAGGTGTCATTGTGTGGGATTTTGATGGCTGCGATACCACCCTTGATTCATGCGACACAAGATTAAACTTCCACGTGGCCGGAGAGCATGGTGGACGTTTTAGCATGGACCAAAATACAGGGGTTCTGACCACCAAAAACACCATTACTGATGCTCTCGGGTTTGAATTTAGGATCACTGTCGCAGTTTCTACCACAGCTGGACTTAACCTAATAAAAGCTCATCCGTTGATTATTATCGTATCAGTATTTAACCAATACGCTCCGAAGTTTTTTGATCAAAACTTTAGATGCGAGGTTTTTCGTGGTCTACCTACGGGGTCTCCAATATGTACAGCACGGGCAGGGGACGAAGATGTAATTGATTACAACAAAAATATTATCTTTAGTTTGAACTCCGATCTTCATCCCGGGTTGTTCCACATTGAGAAAACCACCGGGGATATAACACTTCTTAAAACCTTCCCCGAGACTACCGATAGTATCGAAGTGACGGTTACAGCAAGGAATGAAGGTTCTCCTCTCAGATCTGCTTCAATCACGATGACAGTGACTGTGAAGAGTATAGACAGTAAGCACGCTTTTACTTGAAAAGAAACTTAATCTTCTAATATTGCTATTAGTCTAAGATCTAACAAGGCAGTCATGGCAACGTTAAAATAATTTGTAAACATATTTATAATTTATGAGAAAGTGCTCATGTTTTTGAATTATTTAATCGAATGTAATTAATTCTCAACACGAGATCATAAATCTAAAACTTTTTACCTGATCTTATAGCCTTTTCATGCAATGTTAAGTGTCATAGTACTTTCTGACACCTAAAATTAATTTTAGTATTCTTTGAATTTTGTTTAGTGAAGTGCCATATTTTTTTTTCTAATATCCAAAATTGATTTTAGAACCATTGGAATTTTGTATTGAGAACTTGAACGAGACTAGTGTCTCACCCTGTTGGAAGGAAGCTGCGGGTGGACCAATCAAAGGATACTATTTAGAATTTTGGCGGGAATACGTCAGCGAAGATGCCCAATCAGTACGTGTCTACAAACATGAGTTACAAAATCCCGACCACGATAGGATTTGTACAGCTCTCGGAGGCCTAAAGAAGGATAGCGTTTATTCAATGAGGGTTGCCCCATTTAATGCAGGGGAGATGGGGTTCTATAGCGAAATGATAAAATTCCAAACAGGTCCAATTGGTGAGCAGTAGTCACAGCTGAAACCTAGCTATTTGTGTCCATCTCCCTGTTCATCCCTCCCTGTTTAGTTTAAAATGGCTTGCTTATTCATTTTGTGTTCATTTTATTAGATGCTTCCAGAGGAGTGGGATAGAGGCTTAGGGATAGAGGTGCATCGAGATATAAGCACTGTCCATTTGGATATACCAAAATATTTTATTCATTGCTTAGCTTCAGGACAGAGAAGTGGTGATTGTGGATACTCACGATGGTCTTCTCTTTCCAAGTTGATTATATGACTTTTTTGTTGTTTGGTAAATGTTTAATCGGGGCTATACTAAGGAGGATTGGCTCCAAGGATCGCAACTCGATATTTTCCAACAATGAAAACGTCAACATGTCGTTATTCTCTGAAATTATAATCAACTACAAGTTCAAAATAAACAGTCCAAAAGATTCGGACCAATATCTCGATCATTTCTTGTGAGTTTGGAAATAAGACCAAAATTCACGATTCAAATGTTGAAGTGAACAAAATGGCGGCTGCTTAGATTTGAAATTTGTAATCCCGACATGCCCATATATGGCAAAAATATCGATGTTGCACTCTTGGAGCCAATCCTCCTTGGGGCTATAATATACAGAGTGGCCATTATCTGGAATCTGGAAAATTTGTGACATTGTTGGAACGTCCTTGAAAAAGCCAAGAAGACGTCAGTTGATAAGAATGTTGAGTATTTATAGGAAATAATGGCCTTAACGAGAGCATCTAACGAAAACCTTGCTTGGGGGCAATAATAGGTGTTGTATCAACATTGTGTACAATCCCCGTGTGATTTCCCCCATTAGACAGTGCTTTCAATCCTAATGTATAGACTATATTAGTATGTTTATTGTTGTCATATTTGCAGTGTGCTCAACCTCCCCATGTGATTCTGGAACGTGTGAACAAATAGCAACAGCGCCCGGATACCAATGCTTATGTCAGGAGGGTTACTATGGTGACCAATGTGATCGTCTGAATATGTGTGTATTTTTACCATGTGAAAATGGAGGGACATGCAAAAATATTTCATCAAGCAAATACGAATGTTCATGTGCTGATGGCTATTTCGGCGAAAATTGTCAATTCCTTGATCCCTGCGTATCAAACCCATGTCTCAACCTTGGGAAATGTTCTAGCTCCTCGGCGGATGAATATAACTGTGAATGTGAAACCGGTTACTATGGGGATAAGTGTGAATTCTTCAACCCATGTTCGCTTCCTGTGTGCTTCAACAATGCCACGTGTATTAGTGAAAAATCTAACACGTATAGGTGTCGGTGTGGCTTTGGTTATTTTGGAACTAATTGTGCCCGCTTTGACCCCTGTTCGGCATCCCCTTGCTTAAACGCTGGGACATGTACTAATCTAACAGACTCCCAGTTTCAATGTAGCTGTGCCATGGGCTACTATGATACCCTGTGTAGTGGCTTCAACCCATGTGTCAACGACCCATGTTTGCATGGAGGTGTTTGTTCGAATACATCTAATAATGAGTTCATTTGCGACTGCCCGCAAGGTAACATCTGCTTTGTATGTTTTAGAACTGTTGTTTGCTATAATTCATAATTACATTTCATTAAGAAAGAATACTTATTGTTATATCACTGCCATGCTTGCAATCTTAAGTTGGTCATGGTCACATCTCATGAAAGATCGGGCGATATTCACTGGGCCCGTTCTTACCCCCCTATCACACCAAACTAGTTCTTACCCGTTCTTGCCAGTCCTACGAAAATATCGTAAAACGGGCTCAATCTGACTGCGGTCGGGATATATGTCTAAAATAATTAGCTACTTCGTTCATAAACAGTCTTCAATACGTCCATCTCATTCGCAGTTCGTTCAGGTCGCACCAGGTCGGTGTGCAACGTAGTATAAACCGTCCCTTAGTCTAGAAGGTCATCATGACCTGATAACAGAACGGTATGGTCGCCATCGAATTTTGAATCGATTCAAAATTCTAAATCACATACCCCGTCCGGGAAAGTCCATGAAGTTCGTAAACAGACCGTTGAACGTTGTAGCTACGTTCATTCAGTTCGCACACAGTTTAAAACCGACTCGGCAACGTTTTGACGATCACCAGAAAATTTTTAGCATGCTCGAAGTGCTGGAGGACCTACTCGTTCTAGTAGTTTCATGAAGTTTGTAAACAGATCCCAAACGGTTCTTAGCGGGTTCTTACTACGTCAAATCCGTTCATGCACAGTTTAAGCCCGTTTTCGAGAACGTAGTGAGAACTAGTTTGGTGTGATAGTAGGGTAATCAATAAGACGTAAACCGGTGAATGGTAAATACTTAATAATTAGTACCTCTCCCGGGAATATTCGAAATAAATTTATTTCGTTCAGTGTATATAGAGATTAACTTTTACGTAAAAAGAGGATTTCAGCCTCTATACACGTATCGTATATTGACATTGAGACTAGTGAGCTTGACAGCAATTTATTTTAAACACACATTTAATTCTATTTTCTGCGATTATATGTGACACTTTCACATGAAGATATTCCACTACCTGTTGCCATACTGGTTCTGTGTAATATCACCAATGAAAGATGCACAGGCTATTCACCTCAATAGAAAAAAATGTTTGCATAATATCATTAAACAAAAAAACATCATACTTATATCAATACTTTTGTTAGTAAAACCCTGAACGTATGCATAAACAACATTTCTTGTTTTGACATACATCAAACGAGTAATAAGCTCTATGAATTATATCACTGTATTGCCTAGGAGCAAAGATTACTGAATTGATTAATCACCTGATTATTAATGGCAGGCATTTCTCATTTGTTGACACTCAAAGTCTTCTTCATTATTAGTTAATGTTCATCAATTAAATTACAGCTATCATATACAGTATATTTGAGTACAAAAATTAAACAATTTTCCTCTTTCAACATTTCTTGTGCGGAACAAATGGTCTTTAAGTAGTTTAAGGAAACTTCAATTATTTTTAATATTGGTTGAAATGAGACTGATAAAAATGTGATGCAATAATTGGAAATGTAACTGTGAAGTCAATTGTAAACTGACTATGGTTGTTATAGTCATGTGAAGGGGAAGAGTTTTTTCTAGTCTATTTTATCTTTGAAACCCATTACCGTTGACAAATCACCAAATACATTTGCGATGTTTTTGCTGTTATTCCATTTAACACGTATTGGATATAAGAATGCAGAGACTGTCAGTCAGTCAGTATTCATAATTTGATATTTTGAATTTGATCTTGCGATACTTAAAGCTTGACGTGTAATTATAGTTTAGAGTAAGATTACTTTGATTTATTGCATGAGCCGAGTGTCAACATTGTTGATGGTTTCCATTTTATTTGTTCATTTATTTCAGGTTATTATGGTAATGAGTGTCAGTACACAAATATCTGTGAGTTGGACAATCCTTGCAAAAATGGTGCTGAATGTAAACAAGATGGCGACAACAAGTACTTGTGCGTCTGCGCAGAAGGGTATTATGGGAAAAACTGCACCCTATATAACCCCTGTGTGGAGATTCCCTGTGAACACCAAGGAGTTTGCGTGAATACAAGCGACAATGCGTTCAGATGCGACTGCGTAGAGGGCTACTATGACAATAGATGTAAACTCTATAATCCGTGTGTATCTTTCCCTTGTCAAAATGGTGCATCGTGTTCCAACAAATCTAGCACTGAATACGAATGCAGTTGTAAAAGTGGCTACAATGGTAAGAATTGTGATAGCTATGATCCGTGTATAACCAAGCCTTGCCTTAATACAGGTGAGTGTTCCAGAGTTTCTAATACCGAGTTCCAGTGCAGATGTAGCACCGGCTTCCACGGTGATCTGTGTGAGTCTTATAACCCTTGTGTGATGCAACCGTGTGATCCCAATGCCCAGTGTATAAATACAAATCATAACGAGTTCACATGTAACTGTTCAAGAGGTTACCATGGTTTATTATGTGACATATTCAACCCATGTGATTTTCCCCTATGTGAGAACGATGCTACATGTGTGAGCCCAGAACACAACAAGTATAGATGTATTTGTAAGAAAGGATATTTCGGCGATAAGTGTGAAAGATACGATCCTTGCTCAGTGAAGCCGTGCCAACATGAATCTGCCTGTAGAAACGTTTCAGATGCTGACTATTCATGCTCCTGCTTGCTAGGCTACTATGGTAAAAATTGTGAACATTACAACAAATGCACTTTCAAACCATGTCAAAATGCAGGAACTTGTTTTAATATCTCTGATACTGACTACATCTGTGAATGTCCACCAGGCTTCTATGGCAAGAATTGCCAATTCTACAACCCATGCATATCTGATGTCTGCAAAAACGGGGCACGTTGCGTCAATACTAGTCACAACTCTTATCAATGTATCTGTGAAAAAGGTTTTCACGACAGAAATTGCGACAAATACAACCCTTGTGTTGAGAGTCCATGCATAAATAATGGCACGTGTGCAAATATTTCTCACAATGCTTACGAGTGTGCCTGCCTTCCGGGGTTCTTTGGGAAGAACTGTCACAAATACAATCCTTGCCACGACGAGCCTTGTTTCAACCAAGCCACCTGTGTGAATCTTACAAACAAGGACTACAAATGTGAGTGTAAAGACTATTATTTCGGTACTCATTGCAAAAGCTATGATTTTTGTCAATTTTCTATTTGTCAGAACGATGCAACGTGTTCCCTGGTAGGACCAACAGAAGGTGATATGAACACATTCCTTTGGCCCCCCACAGTACCAACGGAAATTCTTAAAGTTGTGAATGACTTTAGTTGCATCTGTAAAGCTGGATTCACAGACCGTTACTGTGAAACTAACATCAATGAGTGTGCTTCGAATCCCTGCCGCAATGGGGCCTCGTGTTATGACCAAGTGAACAGCTACTATTGCGCATGCAAAGGAGGATACGCTGGCTCGACCTGTCAAATTGAGATTGATGAATGCGAGTCCTCACCATGTTTGAATGGAGCCACGTGTATCGACGGAAGAAACATGTATACGTGCCATTGTATTCCCGGGTACACTGGAACAAAGTGTGATTACAATATTCAAGAGTGTGCCAGTAACCCCTGTTTCAATGGAGCAACTTGTGAAGACAGACTGAACTCATACCAGTGTACATGTGCCCCTGGATATCAAGGTACAAATTGTGAGTTTGATATTTATGAGTGTGCCTCGCTCCCTTGTCTAAACAGCGGAGAATGTGTGGACGTTGTGAATGGCTTTCGTTGTAACTGTCTCCCTGGTTTTACTGGTGTTTTATGCCAAACTGAAATAAATGAGTGTGCTTCAAACCCCTGCTTCAACTTTGCCACATGTTTGGATCTGGTAAACAGTTACACCTGTCTTTGTCTTGATGGATTCACAAGTGACCACTGTGAACAGAACATGGACGAATGTACATCATCGCCCTGTCAAAACGGGGCTACCTGTTATGACTTCATCAATATATTCACGTGCCGATGCCTCCCTGGGTTTGAGGGGACCAGATGTGAAATAAATATAAACGAGTGTGTAAGTAATCCCTGTTTGAACCAGGCAACGTGTCACGATAGAGTTAACCATTACGAATGTACCTGCCTGCCTGGGTTCTCTGGTATTCAGTGCGAAACGGACATTGATGAATGTGAATCACAGCCGTGTGTCAATGGTGCGACATGCCGGGACATGGTGAACAGCTATGAGTGTTTGTGTCCGAAAGGCTACGAGAATCAGCACTGTCAGGTAGAGACCAACGAATGCGACAGCAATCCCTGTCTCAATGGAGGTCTGTGTATTGATGACATAGGAGCATATGGTTGCAGATGTCCAGAAGGGTACCAGGGCACAAATTGTGAAGAAAATATAGATGACTGTCTGTCTGATCCTTGCATGAACCAAGCCTCTTGTGTTGACCTAGTTAATGCCTATAAGTGTATTTGCTCCCCTGGCTTTGTGGGTACAAGATGCACTTTTGATGTAAATGAATGCGAGTCGGCTCCTTGTAAGCATGGCGCTAGTTGTATCGACCTGGTCAATGAGTACCAATGTGAGTGCACTGTGGGTTATACAGGTTCAGACTGTTCAGTAAATATAGGGGAATGTGAATCGAATCCTTGCAACCATCAAGGCACTTGTATTGATCTGATCAATGGCTATAGGTGTAAGTGTATGCCAGGATTCGAGGGTCTCACATGTGAGATAAACACCAATGAGTGTTTGAGCAACCCCTGCACATATGGCACATGTATTGATGCAACCAATGGATACATATGCATGTGCCACCCTGGATATTCTGGATCTAACTGCCAGTTTGAGACAAACGAATGCTTGAGCAACCCCTGTAAGTCAGGAGGAACCTGCCTCGAGAAGCTTAATGGGTATGAATGCGAGTGTCTCCCTGGACTACAAGGAACACACTGTGAAATCAATATCAACGAATGCGCATCTAACCCTTGTCAATTTGGAACTTGTATAGATGATATAAATGCGTATAGTTGCAATTGTTATGCTGGGTTCCAAGGGGAAATTTGCGAGACAAACTTCAATGAATGCTGGACAGAACCATGCCTTCACGGTACCTGCATCGATGGCATCAACAGCTACAATTGTAAGTGCTTTGCTGGATACTATGGCGTCAACTGTGATAGTAACTATGACGACTGTGCTAGTTCACCTTGCAGAAATGACGGAACGTGCGTCGATGGTGTAAATTTCTATACATGTAGATGTGCTGTTGGTTTTGAAGGTAAACACTGCAACGTGGACATCAATGAATGTTTGTCTGATCCATGCCACAATCACGTGCACCGTGGTACATGCATTGACCATGTGGGCTACTTCACTTGTGAATGCTCTCCAGGGTTCAAGGGCGAGTTTTGTGCAGAGAACATAAATGAATGTGAATCGTTTCCGTGTGTGCATGGTTCTAGCTGTGTTGACCTTGATAATGACTATTTCTGTGAATGTGTCCCTGGTTATGGTGGCAAAAATTGTGAGGTAAATCTGGATGATTGTATACCTGGATATTGTAAAAATGGAGGTGAATGCATTGATATGTTAAATGACTTTAAATGTAAATGCTTGCCTGGATTTGAATCAATAGACTGTTCACTGAACATAGACGATTGCTCTCCAAATCCTTGTGTAAACTCAAACTATTGTGAAGATCAAATAGATGACTTTAATTGCCGTTGTTTATCAGGTTACTATGGTAACCTATGTCAGTATGAGAAAAATGAATGTGATTCCAATCCTTGCTTAAATTTAGCAACTTGTTTGGATTTGAAATCCAAATATCATTGTGTCTGTAATACAGGATTTACTGGGCAGAATTGTGAAATTGATATTGATGAATGCTTATCGAAACCCTGTAAACACGGCTCTGAATGCATCGATTTGATTGACGGTTTCACGTGTAAATGTAAATCGGGATATGAAGGCATCACATGTGAGGCTGATATCAATGAGTGTGAATCAGATCCCTGTTTACATGAGTCAACGTGTGTTAATCTAGAGGATGCATTTACATGTGTGTGTGCTGCTGGGTACAATGGTAAGCATTGTGAAATTGATTTGAATGAATGTCTTAGTAGCCCGTGTAAGCATGGAAGTTGCGTTGACCTTGTTAACAGTTATAGATGCGTGTGTGATAAAGGCTTTGAGGGATTAAAATGTTCCATAAACATTGATGAGTGTTTTTCAAATCCTTGTCAGAACTTTGGGGAATGCATTGATCAGATAGATGGCTTTAAGTGTTTATGCTCTAGGGGTTGGCTTGGGACATTTTGTAACATCAAAGTGAATTATTGTGATCCAAAGCCCTGTATCCATGGACAATGCATAGACCTTGATCAGCAGTACACTTGCGAGTGTAACCATGGTTACGAAGGTAACTTATTGAATGCGAATTAATTTTACGTTTCTAAAAGCACAGTCACAAAGGACACATTGGATTAATCACTAAATCATAAATTCATTATATTAACATTACCATTAAACCAAAATTAGTCACAATGTCACAATAAGAATGGGAAAAATGATGTTTAGCTAGATCACTGGAACGAAATGATTATATTTTATTGCGATTGGATAGGATAAAATCACGGAGCATGAATATGAAGAATACCAATCCGCAATCTCTCAACATTGTTTGCTATATCACCCATGTATGTTGTACTATGGTATCGCATGTTTAGTCAAGACACGATATATTTCGATGTTAAATATATCTTTGTTTTATATATACATCACCTATAATCATTCAATATGACATTGTCTGAACAGTAGATTGACATGGGATGTCATCGCCTAATTAGACTTAATTTGACGAAGTTGTTGAAAAAGGTGCGAACGACCTACATAAGAAAATGGGATCGTATTGGACCATATAATAGACTTCCGGTGAATTTCGTGCAGACGCACGACTACACTGCCGTTGCATGTGCTGGTTCAATTTATCTACGAATAAGCAGGTTTTGAGTTAAACAATGGGCAATGGCATCCCGTAATTGAGTTTGATTCACTGTATAATCAAATAAAGTGTACTTAAATCACTGGTCCTCACCTAGTTATAAAGACCTTACGTCTTTATAACAAAATGGATGAACTTCTGTTGGAGGAAATTTTCATTTTCGTCATTTTCACCAAGAAGGACGTCGATTTGTATCCAAATATTTTACCCTTATGTTAATAGTAGCACCCGGTTACTGAACAGCGAATCAGTCACGAGTATATGTATCCAAGGGCTCCTATGATCGAGTGAGAATTCCTCACTCGATCATTGGAGCCCGTAACGTAACATGAACGTAACGTTTTATAACAAGGTGGGGACCAGTATTAAATGTGTAGTGTTAAAGATAAGTACTTAAATTCATACATCTTCAAAAAATTGGGAAATCCATGTTTAAACATTAACTTTCAAGAGACCTTAAAAAACCCATGATATAAGTAAACCGAATTTGTTATGATCTTGCAATGTTTGTAACACTGTATCATTTTTAGCTATTTTCTGTATTTGACACTTGTGCATACATACAAATCCTTTATAGTATTCATTATTTCTATTATAGGAAAAAATTGTGAAATCAATATTCAAGAGTGTGGCTCCAACCCATGCCAGAACTCTGGAGTTTGCGTGGACGATATTAATAAGTATACCTGCCAGTGTACCATAGGGTTTCTTGGCGTCCACTGTGAACATAAAGGTAAAGTACATTTACTTTGCAATATTAATCTCGTGTGATATGTTTTATGGTCTGATTTAATGAATCGTCATAAAGTATTAAACATTCAATAATTGGGTCATCATTTGATTTATATACCTGTAGGAATTATAATGGAATACATAGCTTATCAATAGCTGCACCTGCTAACACTTACTGTTAGTACGATGTGATGAAAAATTGAGTCAATTTCCAGTCATCGTAAATCGCCAATCAAACTGATATAAAGAGACAAAGATTGTTTTATGATTACCTTCATATCAGCAGGGATTTTATACTCTGCAGTAATTAATTATGATTATTGATGATCTACATTGTTTGTGGAAAATTTGAACACTATTTACATACTATCTGATACTACGGGGTGGTTTATACACAAATATAAATGTCTTCTTTTTTGAAGATTCTCCCATTCACCCGTCGACCTAACTTTTCCAGGCCTTAGAATTTCAGAGTCAGGAGATTTGTAGCATTGGGTATATTAATTAACAATCATTTTAATATTTTATTAATATCTGGTGAACCTATTTTCAAAGATACGTGCCCATCTATTAAAACAAGTGATACAAAGGGTGAATTCACGTGGCCACAAGTAGAACATGGTGTTACTAGTACAATCCCCTGCCCAGATGGAGTTATTGATGAGTTGATTGACGGAGCAGCTATCAGGGCTTGTAGCATACAAGGAAATGTAGTAAACTGGGAGGACCCTGATACCAGTGCGTGTAAAGAGGTATGTGGTCTAATCCAATTCATTGTAACCTTGCGTCATGTTTTTCCCCAAGATCAAAATATGAGTAATATGTTGAATGAGTGACGGTGTGAGACGGGATGGTAACGTAAAGATCGTTGAACTGGTTTTGTAATATCAACGTATTGTTTGATTATGGAGCTACCGTCCTTGTGTTTTTTTACAATAATTCATTATCTTCATTCAGATCGGTGCAGCTGCAGCAGAAAAGTCCCTTAATGCCTTAAAGGACTTAACGTCAGATCCTAGTTCTGTGACTGCTGAACAATTGGGACAAATCACAAATCTTCTAGATAGTGTAATAGATTATTCCTTGAAAGACAGGCGAGTCGGAGAAGCTGTTATATCCACAATGGGTAGCTTATTAGACGTAAATGAGGATGTGTTGCAGACTGGAGATTCGTCAGAAAGGTGATTAGGTTTTTTTGAATATACAGGGTGTCCAATAAATGAGATGAGAGATCATGTAACTTTCTTGATATTGCACCAATCTTAATGAAAGGAGCACGTTGGTTATCGCAAACAATTTCAAACGATTCTAACTTGAATTATGAATATTTTCTGATCATGAACATGGGTGTATCTTTTAGATCCATTCATTATCTTCAAGAAAAGTATATATAATGATAATTTAGTTAATCAGACCTAAGTGATATTGAAGGCGCAAAGGACCAATCAACATACTTTTTCAAAAATGTTGACCTAATTTTCACCAAAAATGCAACTTATTATTATATTATTGAATGCATAATTAGAATGTGCTTTGAGACATGTTCGATTTCCTAAAAGGAAAATTTGATTACTCCAGGGACTTTAAAGATATTCAATTTGGATGACCAAAATGAACTGAAACCAATGGATAGCATGAGATTTTTCAATGGAGAAATAACATGGGGAACACTTATCTGAATGCAATTAAGTTTTTCTTTCAAGAACTATTTTATACATCAAAATAAAGAATAGTAATGCATTAAACATTGTAAAAAATGATTGCATTTTTGGTGAAAATGGGGTCAACATCTTCAAAATGGGGTCAAAAAGTGTGTTGATGGGTTAATTGCTAGTTAAATATCACCGAGTTTGTTTGAATTTATTTTTACTTTGCATAATTTTCTTTGAGATAATGAATTGATCTAAAAGATAAACTTGTCTTCATTGTCAGAAAATAGTCATAATCCAAGATATAACCTTCTGAAATTGTTTGCGATAACCCACGTGCTTCTTTGGGGAGGTTGTAACCCAAACCTTATCTTATATATTAGTCATCACTTTATGTATGCGGTTACAAATGGTGAGTTCAAATCCTTATATTGTCCTTTATGTTCTAGATTAGTAGGAATGGTTGATAAATATGCATCCGGTGCAGTGATTGAAGATGGAGATCCTATTAAGATGACCACAGAGAACCTTCAGCTAGAAGCATCAGAAGTACCTATTAATAATCAAGATCCAATACTCTTTAGAGCTGAACGAGCAACTGTTATAAGCGAAAAGGTACAATGAACATTGTTTTTTTCTTAATACATGATCACTTTGATCCTTTTTTATGTCCATCTGTAAAGTAAATTGAGTAATCCGATGAAATTGCTTGCTCTGGGATATCTTAGCCATATGCAATATTTTTGAAGTCCTTATTTTACAGGACCCATCTCTGCCAATCATATCATTACCAACTGAGGTTATGGACGTAGCTAGAGAAGAACTAGGACAGACTTCCAATTCAGCAAGGGTTCAGTTTGTTAGCTACAAAAACAGTAAATTGTTTCTGGGGAAGGGTGAGAATACTTCCCTTACTGGACCCGCGGATCAAAGAATGGTCATCAGTGCAAGTGTAGATGGTGTACAGGTGACAAATCTGTCCACACCCCTGGAATATACCATACCCAACATTGAAGCAGGCGTGAAGAGTATCTGCGTGTTTTGGAATGAAATAACACGTGAATGGAGCACGGATGGTGTGCTTACTGTAGAGTCTGATGATAATGTTACTGTTTGCCATAGCTTTCATATGACAGGGTTTTCAATATTGTTTGTAAGTATATGCTCCACTCATTGAAAATGTTTCATTTTCATATATCTATATCTGATGAAATAACTGAGTGTCCTTGTTATATACAAACATGTCCATATAAGATTATAAGTATTCTTTTTAATTTTGTGATCCTCTGTTGCATATATTGGATAAATAAAAACAAGAGTTCAATATTTGGACACGCAATCATGGTCCCCATTTGTGTGTCCCTGATACTCTATATATGTGTCCATAATTACTGTTTCTGTTGTCCTTTTATTTAGGATCCTACTCCAGGGGAGGCTATTCCAATTGTGCACAAAGTGGCACTCTCCATTGTATCTTATATTGGAGCAGGGATTTCTATGTGTGGATTACTTCTCACAATCATCACATATTCCATGTTCAAGTGAGTAGATAATCATGTTAAGGTGACTTCAGAATTGTGTTTTTATATATTTAATAATATCAGTGCTATAAATGTCATACGTTGAAAGTTTTAACTGTTTTATTAACACATCTTATTTGGCTATTTGTTTAGCAATTTGCACGTTATCACGCTTCATGTGTACAACGTTGTATTACTGTGTACTATTTGCTTTTTCTTTATGTTTTAGATATGACTTGCATGTTATGTATCATTTTATGTGGGAGTCTTTGGTATTTCATATTATTTGTCGATGCACCATACTTATTTGTTCGAATCTAATTATTCTACTTTTTATAGCAGTGAATATCAGTTTTTCAAGTGACACTAACTTCTTACATCTGAACACCTTATTCTTATAGATCCTGTATCGAATAACTCCACCCTCTTAACATGTTGTACACATCCCGAGGATAAAGGTATCATCTCCTTAATACCCTTCTGCACACTTTGGAATCAAATGCAAGTCCCTCTATGCACTCTATATGCACTGCTCTCGCACTAATCTTGCATGTGTTCTCTTTCTATCACTTTCAGTCACCTCCTTCTCAACATCACCAGGCCTACAAAAGCCTGCTGCCTTTTCAGATGTTTGCATGGACATAAAGCCGGCAAGATCCTGATGAACCTCTGTGGCTCCATGTTCTTGATGAATCTCGTGTTCGTGGTTGGGGCTGAGAGGATTCGACTACCATCTGTGCATCTGTGCATGGCTGTTGCGGTAAGACTCCGCCCATTACCTACTCTTGCCGAATAACCTTTGTTGCGAGTATTCAAATACATTCGTGACAGTGATTTAGATACATTCCGTTTTATAAACTATTGCTTAATTACAAAGGTACCACATGGGTAAACAGGTCCATACCTGCCAATATTATTGCTCTACATCTATATAATTTTTATCATTTTAGATACTTCTACATTTCTTTGTCTTAACAACCCTCATGTGGATGGCTGCTGAGGCTACCCATATGTACAAGCTTTTGATTGCTGTGTTCGACTCGTTCGAGAGCTACTTTATGCTCAAGAGATGTGTCATTTGCTACGGTATGTCAAAATGAAGACTACTTAGTAGTCTCGATTTCATATATTTCAAATCCTGAATATCATAACATGAAATTTTATTTGATGAATCGAAAATCTGTTACTAACCTACTAAATGTTATATATGCCTTCGATGCTTACAGGAATCCCATTTTTGCTTGTTGCGGTGACTTGTGGAGTTGGCCTGCCAAATTATAACAGCGATGATGAATAGTGAGTTAAGAGGGACACATTTATGACTGTAACATTTGGTATAACCTAATTCAAACCCTTATCCTGAACGTAATGCTAATATCATATTTGCAATTTCAATTAAAAATTCATGTTCTTAGAAGAAAGTGTTAATGTTGCATTGTGAAGATTCCATTCCTTGTGCTTTGTTTCAGCTGTAGGCTGTCGAGTAACAACCCATACCTTTACTATGGGGCCTACTTCGCCCCTTGTTGTGCAATACTACTGATTAATACAGTTGTATTCATAATGGTAGTGACTGTTGTACTAAAACCACGAAGTCGAGGTAAGATAATCTTCATATCCAGGCGTGTATATAGTATATAGTTTATCCACATTGTCTTTCTTAAGTCATACCCAAAGTATATTTCAAAATATATGTTTCCAAATGTTCAGGCCATTACTTTTAACACTTAGTTTACCATGTTCTGATATTTCAGGTAAGATGATTGATGACGAGCCTCACGTGAGTAAAACTCAGATCAAAGGTGCTATATCTGTTATGGTTCTACTTGGCGTCACTTGGGTCTTCGGGGCTTTCGCCATTGGCCCAGCAAAAATTGTTTTTGAGTACTTCTTCTGCGTTTTAAATGCTCTACAGGGATTCTTTATCTTCTTGTTCCGATGTCTCCTCTATCCTGAAGCCCAGGCGGCTTGGAGGCAACTTCTAAGGACTGGAACATTCAAAAAGCATAGAGGAACTCGCTCTATTTCAAGTTCGAGCTCCAAAGTGGCGGAGACTCATGTAAAGTCGAAGTATAATAAAGATACAGTGTTTGCGTCTGGTTCAAGGGTAGTGCATAAAACCAACAATGTGTGGAAGCATGATCACGACATACGACCACTTTCAATGAAATATGGCCGACCGGAAGTAAATATTGACCCGGATGTGGGACCTTTCGAGTTCAAAGATGAAAAGGCTCGTTATTTGTTGAATAATTCCAATAGACAAAACCCAGATCTCATGACAAGATTATAATGACAATGTTATAAGTAATCGATTAAAGTTGAACTATGATGTATATTGTCGACGTGCAACATTGGATTTATATGTGGCATGTATGGCTGGCTATAGATGTCAAAAGTATTTATAATTATTCGATATTGTGTTCAAATATATATTGTAATTCTTACACAAAAAGTGTTGTTCTGTTTTTTAATTGATAGAAGTATTTTGGGTACCAGTGCATTGATTGAATATTCAGCCTATATTCAGAAACCTACTTGTACATCTTTTCATTGTCGAAGTAACATTATTTTTCATCCCACCACGGTCATATCCACCAATGTGAAAAAACCTTTTCCGAAGGCTGTAACACAAGGTAGGACACCCCACTACTGCTGCCGATGTCGCAACTCTTCAATTTTAATATATGAACGCACAAGTGCCAAAGGAAAAGGATCAACTATTGTTACATGACCAAACAAGACGGGTTAAGAGTTTGAACCCAACAAGATAGGTTTAGGTGCATTTTAAGACACTAACATAATACACGTATGCTCCTGGATGGTCACAATGCTTATTAAGTACAAGATTAGTATGGGAGCAAAGGTCATTCCGTGTCCTTTTTAGAGGCGAGCTAAGCGACATATATTTTCATGACCCATACGTGATACCTACAAGAAAAATGATGTTGGCAATTCTGAATCCGCGACGGTGTTGCTATGGTAACCAAGTAAATATGCCACGCCCACTTTTAGGGGCTCTTTGCAGCATTGTGACCATCATATATCGTTTTCTTTGCATTGATGAATAGTCAGTTTCGAAGAATAAAAAGTTGAACAGCATTAAGCAATGGCATTAGACAAGAAAGTTTTGTCACTTGAAAACACTTTAAAACAAATTACTCTATCATATCCAAGTTCACGGTACAAAACTCTTGTTACTATTCAGGCAATCAAAATGACCTTTAGATATACACAACCCGGGATACACAAGGAGGGATGTTGTTTATTTGTAGTTTATTTGTACCATTGTTCTTTACAAGTCAAAACATGTAACGACACTATAGATCATCTACATTGAACTATATCTACTGGTTTGTGTTGAGTGCAAAACACTTTACTTTGTACCAAAAGACAATCAAATTGGTCTTAGAATGTGTACATGTGTAGGGTAACAGGTGTTTTATTTTAGTTTGCTTGCAATGACAAGGTGTTTTTTGATGATATCGTTATAACATACATCTGAAGGGCCCTTCTTTACAGTCAAACTGCACTGTTGCATTCAAATATTTCACAACTGCCAGAATAAAAGTTCAACCTCATGAAGGAGGTGTCAATATTCTTTTCTGGTGAATCTAAGGCTACTGATGTTGCAGAGGGAACATTTCTAGAGGTGTATATTGGTATGAATGTGTGTCGATGGAATAAATAGGATATGATCTTATGATTACATCGATGTAATATTGTTTTATGGAATCAACATCTGTGTAAACATAAGTTTAGCAGTACAGATAACAAAATACGTAACTACAATTATATTCTGAGATAAACCAAAAAGGAGAAGCATCGGACATGGTTGCGAATTCTGAACCAATATGGCTTCCATCCATCTGCGGAAATTCATCTCGAAAATGGGCATTCTGGGTAAGCACGCGAGATGAATTATAATTAACTGGCCCAACTTTTGAATGCAAATTACGGAATAGGGTTATTATAACAAATATCGCTTTTACAGTTATATGTCGGTCATTCGTCCATCTGTACCATCAATTAATTTTGATCTTGTATCCAGGATAATGATCTGACCATCAACACCACTACTCCAGAGTTCACATTATGCTTCCAATACACCGTGACAGTGTGGGTTCCAAGTGCATACCTTTGGGTCATCCTTCCTTTCTTTGCCATTTACTTAAACTGGCTTCCAACCGTTAACACATGGAGAGACAAAAGCTGGATAAACCTCGTCAAAATGGTAAATTAACTTATATCAGAGATTCTTACATCAGTGTTTGTACTTTCAAGATTCTTGGTGGACGCATATAGAATTTGGACCATATTCAAATTAATTAAAAACATGCTATATTAACCCAACGTTGATAACGTACGTAGACCTACAAATATGGAATATTTATGTTAACTTCAAAAGTGAAACCGGACTCAAATTTCCATTCATTTTATTGTTATTAGCTTATTTTTATGTTTGTAGCTTTTAGGGTCATTGATAACAGTAACTTTGATTGTTGATTTTGTGTTTCGTCTTGATGCTGACCCTACCGAGGTTGCCGTTTATCTTGCTTCAGTTCTATCAATTCTAACATCAGTGAGTACAAAATCCATTACATCAAAAAGCAGTATATTCAGTAAAAGCATTAAAAGTGTAAGTTTATCAACAATTAATGATCAAAAGTACACCACCGAGAATAATAAAGAACAAAAGTGAAAGCAGAACTCTGAAAAGCACCATCTGTCACAAGAAACCCCAATATCCCAAATGGACTGTGAAACAGTGTCAAATTACTCTCACCACCTACTCCCACAATCACACAACCATTACCAAAGTCGAAAACATAACAACAAAGGAACATTTCAGTCATCCTGAAAATTACTGCGGTGTAAAAGGGTAGGAGTTCCTATTAATTTATGGTCCTACTCCATTGATTTATATGTTGACCCCTTTCCCTTATTATCTTATACACAATCAGGGCCAGTAAGGGCCTTTAAAAAGGGGGACCATAATCCCAGGGGGACCATAATTCATGTTTACATGAATTAAACGATGACACTCAGCTTCTTAATGTTTCATAATTGAATGAATTATTTTTCAGTTATTAGCAACGATATTGTCCCACATCGAATATAGCAAGAGAATGCATACCTCTTCAGTTCTTCTAATATATTGGTTACTGGCATGTGTAGGAGGACTGGGTCGACTTCTCACATATGCCTCAAACACAACAATTGATGTAAGTGTTTCTAACCAGTAGTTTAATAAAAATAATCGTTTCTCATCTTATTCTTAGTTGACATTAGATATATACGAATTTATGATATTTTCTTGATTTCTTAAGTTCTGGTATTTTCAGACAAGATTTACTGTTTCAGAAGAGTGAGATTCCTCATACAATACTTTTCTGTATATACTACGTCTCAGCATTTGGTGAACTTCTCTTGCACTTCGTCCCTGACCTGAGAGCAAAAACTGTAGCTGAACAAAGACTGATAGAAAACAACCAGGAAAAGATCCCCTTGTTGAAAGCACAACATGAAAGCTTACCCGAGGGGTCGCGGTATGCTGTAGAACTCGCAAGGATTCCCATCAAAGTAACTTGTATTTCATTTCACAAAAGAGTTATCTATACCTGTTATATCTTCCTCATTGAGTTAATGAAAAAAATTAATACCCTTATTCACACACAAATACACACAATAAAATAGTATATTATGCAGAGGAATATCTAAATACGAACGAGAAATGTATTCTTCATTTTGTTACAGCAACAGTGTCCTCAAAGATGGGCAACTGCATTTTCAAGATTCGTTTTCTGGTGGTTTACAAGGTAATGAAAGGGACTTAATATTATGTTATGTGGAACATTGATATCATTGTTACCTTTTCAGATCTTATTAATATAATGCATGATATTGATATCCATCGAATGTAAAAGTTCTTATCGTATGTAAAAGTTAACTGCAATTGTTTCTTGTATTCTTTGCATTTACATGTAGATGTTGGTTGCGATTTTTCAGTTTAATTATCCAAGGATACAAAAAACCATTGCAGTTCGAAGATTTATGGCCGTTGCGTCTAGAGGATAGCTGTGATTACATTGTCCCACGTTTCAAGAAGTTCTGGGGTGCTCAACTAAGAAAGGTCCAATCAGTTAGAAGGTATGTCAACTGTCATCTTGGTTTTGTATATTTTCAAAGCGTTTTACGTGTACGTGTATGTACATGTAATATATCCATTCATAGAAGGTTCGTAAGTCTGAACAGAATGTGAACTTGTTTCAGAGAGCCAACGTATAAATACAGCCACAGTAAGTCATATCAAGGCAATGGATACAGTTTATTGGACGAGCAGAGTCACGTGATGACAACCCCGGATGTTAATATACCCAACAGAAAGAGGCCTAACTTATTATGGGTTTTGATAAGAGCATTTTCGACAGAATATGTCTTTATCGGTGGATTCTGTATGCTGTGTCTCGTCCTCTTCCAGATGTTGCGGCCACAACTTTTGCAGTAAGATATCAAATGAAAACAAGGCATAAACATGCAAAATGGCACTACCTGTCATTTGTTACAGACGCCGAACACCAGCCGCCGAACCCCAAACACCGTCCACAAAATAAGATGGACACAAATTGTGGCAGTGAGATAAAAACAATTTACCGCAAATTGTACTTATATCTTCCTTGCTAACCCAAGCTATATAAGTCTGTTGACGTATTCATTAGAAGAAAATCAAGGGCCTGCCTGTTGCATTGAAATATGACATTTTGAGACACAACAATTAATTCATTTTTATAAAATTTCTTTTAAATATTCAATTGGCAGGGACACTAACCAGGCCGTCATTGTTGTGTATTTGTATAGGAGTTTCCTGACCGTTTTATTCCAGATTAATTTTGGATTTGCTAGATGACGACGTATTTTATAGTTGGCAAGGAGTTGCACTCACTCTTGTATTGTCATTTACCTCATCTTTCATGACGAGTGTTATGATGCATCATTATTTTTACGCCTTTCACGTTGGACTTAAATTTCGCTCTTGTGTCATGGCAATGGTTTACAGAAAGGTATGCGTATATTTTATCGTAATCTATATATTATTTAAACACTATTATTTTTATGTATATATTTAATTCCTGGATGAACCATTTTGATGTTTACATTTTTAACCGTGTTTTGACAATCCCCCTGACCCACACGTGGTTTTATTTGTTTTATTTTCAGTCGCTGAAATTGAATAGCGCTGCCAGGAAAGGGACGACTGTTGGTGAGATTGTTAACTTAATGAGCGTTGATGCACAACGGCTTCAGGTTAGAATTAATTATTTATTAGCAAAACTACTTTCTCTCGACTTTGTTCTTAATTTTTTCTAAACTATTTTTTTAGATTCTAGTGAAACTGATACATCATTTTCATTGTTGAGTCAAAATCTATAATGGGTGTATCATAGAATCTTAAGAAGCCAGGTGATTGTGCATGTCACATGTTTGTCAAAATACAGTGAGTCACTGAACTAGGTAAGATTTTGTAGTCTGTTGGTACATTCTATGCAGACAGAGCCTGTGGGAAATATTGGGTGCGGAGCAAATGAGCGGAGGGTGCGGAGCTAACGGTCATTTTTGAATTTAAATTTGGGATATTTCTGAAACTAAGCCGTTTTGGGACTTCAAATATACCAAGATATGTGTATTTGACACCAAATATCAATACAATTGTGAAAATAGTAGCGCAATTTATTCTATAGCTACGCAGTGTGCCTCAAACCTTTCCCAGACCTATATATTTTGAAATTATCCTTTTAATACTGAGTCCCCAGCATTCATAAAAAATGGTGTTCAAGGTAAACTATCTATACAAATTATTTTTGCATCTTGGAAGCCAGGCAGTATCTGTGTGATTTTATAAAAAATTGGAAATGTTTTTCAGATATGAGCCCCCTCTAAATATTGGGTGCGGAGGAGCTCCATAAACGTACCTCCGCACCCAATATTTAGAGGGGGCTCATATCTGAAGAACATTTCCGAATTTTTATAAAATCACACAGATACTGCCTGGCTTCCAAGATGCAAAAATAATTTGCATGGGTAGTGTATCTTGAACACCATTTTTTATGAATGCTGGGGACGCAGTATTAAAAGGATAGTCTCAAAATATATAGGTCTGGGAAATGTTTAAGGAATACTGCGTCGCTATAAAATGAATTGCACTACTATTTTCACAATTTTATTGATATTTGGTGTCAAATACACATATCTTGGTATATTTGAAGTCCCAAGCTTAGTTTCAGAAATATCCCAATTTTAAATTCAAAAATGACCGTTAGCTCCGCACCCTCCGCTCATTTGCGCCGCACCCAATATTTCCCACAGGCTCTGTCTGCATAGGGTGTGGTAGGTAATTTCGTAAAAGTTGTTTTCGTATGCCATTTCCCTTTTCTGCTAGGAGTTTAATGTGGACTGTGGAGTGGCTCCCAAAGTAATATTTGGGATTCATTGATTATAACATAAACCACGAGCATTACGCCTATCACTAATCAGTAAATCATATCCAATGCTCATGTGAAAAAGCAAATTAAAATTTGAAATCGTCGAAATGATATTTATTTCAGTTCAACATCATCATTTCTAAACTATGGTATTACTATTTAACTTACTCCATCCAAACTTGTAGAGAATAATTATCAAACAACAGCGAGCTGTTATCGAATGTGAAAGAACCAACTCGAATATTTGGGAACCCCCCCCCCTCATGGATTTATACGTATAAATGATTTGTCCAGCAGTATCAAAATATGCACTGTACCTTTTCTATTTTGGTCAGGAAATGCCATATGTGTCTCATTGGATTTGGGCCTCCCCACTTTTCATTGCATTGACATTATACTACCTCTGGCAAATCCTGGGACCATCTGCCGTCGCTGGGCTCGTACTCATGGGAGTCGTTACTCCCTTAAATGTACTCTATTTTGCCAAAAGAGTGAAAACGCTTCAGGTAATTCAAGTGTTAAGTATTTTGTTTTACGACTATTTTATTTATTTAACCTGGTCCATGGGCTTTCAATTTGTTTTTACAATGGTTATTTATTTTATTATTTGAAAGCCCATGCCTGGTCCAATAACAATTTTCAAATAAAACACCTAGTAGTTGCAAAAATTAAATAGTTCATTCACTTGCCATTTAATACAAGTTCATTCACTTGCCCTTTAATACAAGTTCATTCACTTGCCCTTTAATACAAGTTCATGCACTTGCCCTTTAATACAAGTTCATTCACTTGCCCTTTAATACAAGTTCATTCACGTGCCCTTTAATACAAGTTCATTCACTTGCCCTTTAATACAAGTTCATGCACTTGCCCTTTAATACAAGTTCATTCACTTGCCCTTTAATACAAGTTCATTCACTTGCCCTTTAATACAAGTTCATTCACATGCCCTTTATAATTGAAAAAATATTTCCAGGTTGACCAAATGCTGTACAAAGACAGGAGGATTAGACTGACTAATGAAGTTCTAAGTGGAATAAAGGTAATTTATGTGTTGCGTTCGGAAAATAAAATAAGAAATTAGACTGGCAAAAACTGATAACACCGAAAAATAATGATGTGTCAAAACAAGAATCACAATATCATGATATGTATGTACATTTAACAAAAATTATATATCTAAAGTAATACTGTGGCCATACATACTACTGTGATAAATAAACCATAAAATCCTATTTCCTATAGGTTCTTAAACTGTATGCTTGGGAAACCTCTTTTGATAAAGAGATTAATAAGCTACGAGAGCTGGAATTAGGCATATTGAAGAAAATACAGCTCCTGAATGCCATGGGTGCAGTCACCTGGTTTTGCACTCCATATTTGGTATGTATGCCATCAAGTTGATACTGACACTTGAATCGTTATATTACCAATGCTCCAAATACCGAAAGGGGCCACACTCACCGGACATGAAACACCCATGATATTTTGGGGCTAATGTCTGCACTAACAACCCCTGAAACATTGATACAAGGGATAGAGATGAAGATGTGAGCCATCACACGAGATAGCTGTCAAAATGGCCATGAAATTGTGACCAGACCAATGCAATTTAGTAGAATAAAAGAACATTGAACGAGGTTTAATTTTACTAAACATAACCTTAAACCCATGTTGATTGAGTAGGTTATTAACATTTGGTTGGGTTACCTTTTTTGGCTCACCCTGTCAGTGTGTGATCCAAAGATGTGATTCTATTCTATGTACATTCTTACCAAAATCAAATTTCAAATTGTGTTATTTCAGGTTTCATTTGTGTGTTTTGCTATGTTTGTCTACCTTGATCCAAATAATGTCTTAGATGCACAGAAAGCTTTTGTAGCCTTGTCATATATCAATACACTGAACGAACCGATGTCACTATTGCCTACCTCGATTACAAGTTTAGTCCAAGTAAGATTATAATATTCTACCAAAATATTTCATTCAAACATACCATGATAAAAAAGTA